TCGCGTTCTTTCATATATGGGCAGGAACCTTCAATGTGGGATCGGTCCCATGTATATGTTTGTGCAGTTTCAAGCGCATGCCTGGCGACTTCGGACATGTGGTTGTGCCTCTTTAATGCTAATGGATGTTAACGTAGGCGATTACAAAAGGACCTTTGTGTTATTCCACAAAAAATGCCTTCGCAGTCACCGCAAGAAATTATAGAGACAAGCTTATTTCTATCCAAACGGCCAGCTCTATCCTTAGGTTTTCTTTTTTCATATCTATACTATGAGATTAAGCAAGGCAATACACAGAAGAGCTACTTAATTCCTACGAAACTGACTTTCTTATATCCGCCCTGTATGAATTCTTATATGTGTGTTTGGAAACTAATTTCCCATTTGCACAACAATAATATAAGCAGATGAAATGAGCCTCCATGGGATCATCCATTTCGGGATTCTTGGCTGAAATAATGAGATAATTTATTGCCCTTCCGCTATTGTACCCCAGTTTGTAAGTACGTTATGTCGATGGCACCTTCCGCATTGTTAAAAAGACCCGCTGGATATACTACAAAATATTATCAATCCAACGATGCCAGGAATCACGTTTAAGCTCGAAAAAGCAGTTAACAGTAAACCCCATTTCTTGACGCCCTTGTGCAGCGTAATACTAAGGGAACGTTTTGAACATCGGTTTATCGCAAAGATACGTGTGCTGATGTTATCCCTTATTACAAGACCAACCACCCTTTTGCTCGCAAAAGAAGTGATGTTACCACCCTAGTGTATCTAGATGGAATGTCTTCTTCTTGCCCTGATCTCAACCAAGTCAAACTCAATTACTTATTCGAATTGTTTCCAAAAAGCGGTTACCATTGAGTTCGTGCGTCGAGACATGAGACAATAAGAGTAAAGGTAAAAGTTATTTAAGTTGTGAGAAAACTAAAATATAGTAGGACACAACATATGTTTCATTATGTGGATAGGTTTGGAACACACCTAACTGACTGCGCTAAACAGTTCAAGAAGAAGGCCTTAAAAGCTAGCCGGGCTTAGGGCGTGCCCATCAGATAAGCATGTGTATACGACAACTATAAGCCTTACGAAAGGTCCACAAAGATGGTACACTCCCTCGTACTATATCAGATGTATGGCTTGTATGGCAAAGGATGACTTTAATGTCCAATACCTCATACTACGTTAAGCTCACTTCCTGTTCATGCTCTGTATATCTATCCTGGCTTGTTTATTCCCGTTGCTCATTTAGAAATAGCCATATTTATTTTGCAAAACTGCGACTATCTCCGATGTTAGGTTTTGCTGAGAAGGACGATTCCGGTTACTCTTTTGCAGATTTTATCCCTTTATAATAATGAGTAAAAGTTCAACGCAAATACTATATCATTTTCTTGATGAATGAGGATGCAAGGATTCTCAAAAGTGACACACATATTTCAGCTAAAAACATGCCAGGGAGCGAGGTGAACGCTTGCGTTTAATTAAAGGTGACTGTGAAAAGCGTGGTTGCCTCGTGTGAACCCCAGCCTACGGCAGTACTGGCACGGTTTGAGTGCGGAATACGCTATGTGTACATCTGAGTTGCAAGACCCCTTATACATTAACGAGCTAACCACACATACTTTAATTTACCAGCTGAGTCTACAACAGCGCATTGATTACAAAAATCGTAATAAAGTAAGACGACCGCCCTAGCCGCTTTCGAAGGAAATCAGTTTAGGATAGACCAGATGGCAAAAAACCTTTGTTACTTTAGGGAAACTTTTTGGCAAAATTAAATAACTCGTTTTACTTTTAAGTGGAAAGCGCGCAGAACTCGCTGATTCGCATAAGTACATTCTGCTACATAATTCGAAGTGCAGCTAAATAAATCTGGCAAGGAAAATGTTTCCAATAAAACATGTCCAGTGAATGGCAATCCATTCGAATGAACGAAAAAAGTTTAAAAAATGTACTCTTCTGCGAAAACTTTCACTGTGCTGGTTGGCTTATTTAGCCCATCTTGCATGCGGGCATGTACAATTTATGTCACTCGCACAGCACACCTGAGACTGCGCGCAGTTTTTCAAATCTTATGTGATTGGATGAGCACGTCGTTTGGCAGGACGTGGTTGGCTGGTTGACTGTCAGTGGCTGCTGCGAGCAGTCAAGGCCAGTGAACAGCGCTGTCACTGTTGGTGTCGACGCTTTTGCAGGCTAATAAATAAAAGTGTTGGGTACAGTTTGACCCAAGTAGTGCTCATAGGAAACGTGTGCGACATATGTTTCGTCCAAATCGTAAGAAATCTTTTCGCTTTCTCTTTTTTCCAAGGTAACGGCGCAGGATTGTACGACAAAAATGGCATTGACCTAAAGGATGTCCCACTAAAAGAGATATCTGTTCACGCAGAGATGCACGACCTGGTTGCTGATGTTACCTGCAAACTCGTCTACAAAAATGACTCCAAGGATTTGGTTGAGACACAGTTTGTCTTTCCGATTGACGCGAACGCCGCTATTTACCATTTCGAGGCAGAGATTTGCAAAACGCGTCTTGTGGCAAAGTGTCGAGAACGGCTTGAGGTAAGCTTTTTGAATAAAGTACTATAATTCATATAAGGCGAAACATAATACATGAAGGTCACATAATTGAGGCGCCAGTTTGTCCTACAAGGATAATTTGTCCCACGGTAGCAGGCGAAGTCATAAATGCACAGGTTTGAAGGGATACTTTGTCCTTGCTTTCAAGGCTAGAAATTGGATTGCTTTTAACTTTTCCACTAGCTATGTTCGCTTGATGGGAACGCTTAAGCGAAGATGTAGTATTTCGATCGTCTGAACCTTTTGGCATGGGAGTTGGAAAAATAACTCCTTCTCAGACGCTTACTCGCAGTGATTTGTATAAGACAAGTTCAATTTGCAGCGAAGTCAGAGTATGTATTCTTCTATCTCAGCTCGATTAAAGGGTCCACGCATAGTTTCTGACATAGTGGGCTAACATTGTAGTACTTTGTTCATTGCCCTCTCTGTTTTGCCTTTCGAAATACACTTCAAATTTTTTT